GGGGGGGTGTTTTGTTGGGGTAGGTTGGGGGTTTTTTTGATGCCTTGTTCTAGAGCTCTTGCTGTTGAGGATTAGGGCCAATAATTGAGTAATAGAGTATTAATTTCTACAGGGAATTCAGCCAAGAAAAACAGTTTACAAATAGTTCATGTGATGTTAGTTCAGGAGACATATGTAGTGCCTTGGGGACAATCAAACCTATGTACAGTTAAAAACATTCATGTTTAGACAAAATATTTTAGGTTTACGCTACTGAATTGAGGTTTCTTCTCGGCATTGACTTCTGCATTTTTCAGTAGTCTTCAAGGCCGTATAAGTAGACAATTTTTACTGGTATGTATTAATCATACAGTATATCTTAATCATAGCTTTTGTTTTGCTGTAGATGTAGACTTTTCTTTCAGATACGCTTTTTTACTTTGCTGGAATGTAGAGAAATGTTGTTTAAACCATTTAGGCAGAGTAGTATGTATTTACTGTCTCTGTGCTCTCCCTTGTAAGTTCCAAAGTCTTTTTCCAATTGCATCGTTTTCTCACTATTATATAAATAATGTGTTTGAAGAGATAAGCGGACCAACTTGTGAACTTCTGCAACACTCCAGTAATATGCACATCTGGTAATGCTCAGATAAGCTTAAACTTTGTAACATTTGATTTTAAAATACGAGCCGATTAGGATGCCTCAGTAGCAACAAGTTCCCATCCTTAAACCTATGGTATGAATGAATCCACTGTACAATGCAGGGGGTACTGAGTTAATAACCTACATTTAGGTCACATGCTACTTCATATTCTCTGATGACCTATGCATGCGGGTTTTGTCTTCTAATGAGTAGATTAAAAGACTTAAAATATCGGTCTTGGTCTTCCCCAGATGTCATTAAGGAAAAAGGATTAGAGCATGTTACAGTTGATGATTTGGTGGCAGAAATCACTCCCAAAGGCAGAGGTAAGAAAATGCAAATGTGGATGTCCTAGTACATGAATAAACATACCTACCTGTATTTCATTCATATTTCGAAAGCAGCATTATGAACTTGCCTGTGTTGGATTCAAGGAAAAATATTAATAGCTTGATATTAACTACAAATAAAACACGTGAATGTGTGTTATGAGCTATGTGCGCAGACTACTTTTGCAGGTTACACTTAGTCACGATTCTGTATTCATCTTTGCAATTGACTTAATGGTCCCAAGAAAACTTGGGGTACGCAGCAGAGATGTTTTAAGATTCCAGTTCTTTTAAGATGGAAAATCTGAACTAACAGTACTAGTCAATAATCCTTTCCCTCAAACCTTCCCACTTTCTTGACTATGGCTAGGCAAAAAACCTGCCAATAACAACAGTGTTCTCAACAGACTTCAATTTTAGCCTGTTTTAAATAGGAAAAATACAGAATTGCAAGAACAAAGAATAGAAGTAGCTGTTGTAAAAGGTTGATATTAGCATATTTTCCATTTTGTCTTTGTTACTTCTTGCTTTCTTATTTGTGTTTCAGCCTTGGTACCAGACAGTGTAAAGAAAGAACTCTTGCAGAGAATAAGAACCTTCCTTGCCCAGCATGCCAGTCTTTAACTTTGACATTCGTCTGGGATACGGTGTTTCTGTATTATGTCAATCATGTCAGGATTGGAACGCAGTTTACATACTTAAGGATGGGAAATAAATTTTTTTTGTATGATGAGTTGCTTTCTTCTGCATCGATTCTTAAACTTGTTATTTTAATAAAAAATTCTGTGGACTTGTTCTAAGGCTTTTCTCTCTGTCAGTGCACTGTAACATGGTGCCACCTATTCCACTTTTCAATAATCCATAATTTTATATGGTTGTGCAAACTTGCTCAGATTTTCAAAAACAGAAGCTCAGTTAACAAGTACATCAACCAGAAATGCAGAAGGGGAAAAAAGTCTGTGGAAAATGGGACATGACATACTACTGAGCATACCATTTCTGATTTTTCCCTGGGTAAGTAGCTGGACAACATGAAGTTAAGACTACTGCTGGTGGCATTCCTCTTGGTAGTTCTGTGCTAGAGTGAGTAGGCTGAAGTCTTGTGTTGCAAATATTCACTCAATAAATCATAAGAGGTTGAATTTTTCAAACAAAAAAGGCAGTCATGTCTGTCATCAATAATTCTCTCTTCACGTTTGATTAAAAAGTCATTATTCTGATCCACAACAACTACTGTTTTCTAGCTTCGCCCATACTACTGGTAATTTTTAATTATGTGGATCTTTGGGGCCTTTTTAAATTTTAAGTGTAATACAATAATTTGCCAACATAAGTCTCTTAAGGTGATATATTTTAAATTCTTATATCTGGAACTGCAATATCAGCCAGGTCTATAAATAGCTGCAATAATAGAGAGGCTCAGGAAAGGTACTTTGAAGTAAGAACATTTAGGTTTTGCCAGCTTCAATCTGAGGTGACAGATTATCAAGTGGAGGAGAATCAGAATCATTAGGTTGGAAGAGAGCTTTAAGATCATCAAGTCCAACCATCAGCCTAACACCACCATGCCAACTGAAATGTGTCCAGAAGTGCCACATCTACACGGTTTTTTAACACCTCCAGGGATGGTGACTCCACCACTTCCCTGGGCAGCCTGTTCCAATGTTTGACTACTCTCAGTAAAGAAATTTTTACTAATGTCCAATCTAAACCTCTCCTTGCACAACCTGAGGCCATTTCTTCTCATCCTATTCTAGTTACTTGAGAGAGACCAACCCCCACCTCGCTACAACCTCCTTTCAGGTAGTTGTAGAGAGCAATAATCCGGGGTATCTGGGATGTGCTGCAGTATACGGATATCCTTCTGAGGGCCTGGCCTGTACTGTTGTAAATGTACCTTCATGCCAGTTTCAACACACTTGTTGTATGTTATAGTGTTTACGCTGTTGAATAATGGTGGATGTCAGAATGAAGAAAATTCTTTCTCCCACATAAAAATCCATCTTGTTTTTTAAAAAGTTTATTTGCACTATGTGAATTCAATGTTTGATTGCAACTTCATTTGCAATGAGTATATTCTGTTTGAATTGCATAGATGTATATTTATTCTGAGCTCTTAATTCTTGACTTGATTTACCCAATGCTAGTAACTGATGGAGTATACACTGTTTCTTCCCACAATCTTATAGAATGTACGCTAGCTGAGTGTATGTTTAATGTATGACAAGGCTGTAAAATATCTTCCGTATTCTTTTGTTCTTAGAGGTCTTTGCTGATGTTCTTTCTTTGTTATTTTGCACCTGACTTTAAAAGTCTTTGCTTGATGAATGGCTGCAGTGTGTCGTGGGTACACAATAACTTGCTCCAGAGCTTCCACTTGATTTCCTTCACTGGGGTGGGAGGCGGCCAGACGTGAGGTATTCATACAGGGAACTGTGGAAGGCTTGTCATCTGATGAGTAAATGTTTGAGATTCCATCTAGACCTAACAGTTGAAGTGCAGGTGCTGTAAGCACGGTGTAGTTCTCTGTGGGTAGCTTGTGCTTGGCACAGAATAAAGACTGAACATCGTATGAATTTTCAGAAAGTTGTGCTGACCCATCTGAAGTTCAAGGCTTGACAAACAGCTCTTTCACCTGCTTCCAAAAGGAAGTTATAAAGTTCTGCCCATACTGGCTTAAAATGCAAGAGCATTCAGAGACCCAGAAGGAAGAGGAAGAGTGACTGCCACACACCAGCAGCTCCATCTCAGGGTAACACTGCCTGCTCTCTGATGTGATCAGCCTGATGCTGCATGTTCCTGCAGTGAGGTCTGTTCATCGCACCAGCGCAGCCTCCATTCAGGAGCGAGGCAAAGGGCATGTTTGACAACATGCAGATCCAAATGACACTGAAGCAGACTGGTCAGAGGTATCTTGATGGATCTTCTAAGAATGAAGTGAGATTTGGGGTCACAGCAGCAATGGGAGTTGTTTGCTTGAGGAATAAATAGGTGAGACCTTAGTGGTCTCATACTAACTGCAGGTTTTATTCTCAGAGGCACAGGGTGGCTTTGTTTTACAAACTGTTCTCTGCACAGTCTCAGTTTCTACTCATTTGGTTGAGTATTGAAAGCAATTGGTAACACTCAGGATCTAGCCAGAACATTAATTGTCCTTTTGAAGTTTTTCTTGCAGGCTGAAAAATAAGACAATCTGTGCTGTTAAAGGTTCCATACCTATAGATATACAGACAGACAGATGCATTAACTACTTTTTCTTCAACGTGTCAGCATTTTCGATGCCATGAAATGCATCTGTTCCTTACGAAGGCAGACAGCACCCAGAACTAGACAGGTAAGAAGTGACAATTTAGGATTGATGTGAATTATCTCAGCTAAGGGCATACACTTCTTTTAGATGGCAGCTCTATACATACAGTCTAGTAGCTGATTCAGCTTGGCCTTTTTGTAGACGAGCCTGTAAAAAATAAAATCAGTTTGTAAATTGACATTGAAATAATGGGTCAGATAATAGCTAGAGTAAATTGGTATAGCTCTGAATGCACACAAATCCAAATTCTATGTGACAGTGAATTGAATAGTCCTACTGCTGTCAATGAGAGACCAATAGAAAAAAGTTAGCCTGGCCTCTCCCTAAGTCAGGCCCTGAGGGGTCTGAAATACACAATGAACTGAAACTGGTTAGATTCTGATTTGTTTGATAATTATTTCCCCATGGATACTTCTCCACTGACATAGTCCAGTCAAAAAAAGGTTATAAAACAGTAAAATGACCATGAAATTCTGCTGGGATGTCAAACTTACAGCTTAGATACAACCTCATCCTTTTGCCACTGCAGCTTTTTCAATTATATTTTTTCCTATTTTTTTTTCCCCCATTCTTTTTTTCCCATTCTTCTTCATTCTTGTTTACTGCTATAATGTTTCAGTACGGACCTTTATCACTTCGAGAACAAGTATGTCTGAAGTCGTCTAAATCCAGTAAGAGTCCATCAGTGCTATGAAAAAATTATTGCTGCTTCTCAGTTCTTCTCTCTGGAGAGTCCTTTGGGGTGACAGCTCTGCACTACCTAGCCCATGTCCTCATCTTTTCTTTCACATAGTGGAATATGTTTAATTATAGTGATTGTGGCGCCTTGATAGTTCAGCTTTAACTTACTTAGTGATGATTGAGTTTTCACTGGAGCAATTAAAAATATCCAATGCTTTTACCTGCTGGCTTTCTTTAAATTCCTAAATATTTGCAATTGAAATCAGAATTGTGTTCTACTTGGCCTGTTTTTCTCAGCTATTCAGTTTCTGAATGAAACAGCTGTGGCTGCAGAGCCAAATTTGTAATGACTGGAGCCCAAAATGAGGAAAAATACATTCCTTTCCTCATAAATAATGTATATTTTACCACTTTAGTGTAATGAATAGGCTAATCAGCATTCTGCTTGGAATGAGAAAAGGCCTAATCTCGCTTTAGTGTATTTCACATTCACCATGGTGCTTTCCATCTGAACAGTGTTATTCTTAGAAATTTAGAAAATGATCTTTACGCTTACCTTGTAACTAGTGAAATGATTTAGTAGTAGATCATAAAAAGTATCCCTCTAAGAAATGCCTGCTGATTTCTGTTTGTTGGAGTTACTAGGAAAGAGGTTATCCATTCTTTCAACCATTGATCCTGAGGTAAAGTATCGAGTTGCTGCTGATAAAATCTGCGGCTGGCAGCCTGTGGGTAAACACTGACAAGGGCAGAGCAACCTGCCCTCTCCTGTTGGCCAGCTCCCATCAACCGCCTGTGTACAAAGTCAGCGCAGTATTGAGTTTGTACATCTGGTGCAGAGGGCAAAAGCAATGCTTAATTCCCTGGAAAGCAATGACACTGGAAATCACAGTGAAAAACTCATCATCTGCTTCCATGGGATCTTTGAATACGTATGAACAGAGATGAGCATTACACTGATCTTTGCTTTGTATACTGCATTGGTGAGACTGATAGTCGTGACGTACGGCTCGCAGTTTTGAAAGGAAGAAGGAAAAACTGGAGTACTGAAAAAGAAAAAGGAATTTCTGAGGGCTAGCACTGCTTGTTAAGCTTTAAAAATCTCCCAGTGTTAGTTTATTGAAAATAAAGCTGAGAGAAAATATGGCTGTGATGTCAGGACCTCCTTAGGGAGAAAACAGGAAACAAAGGGCGCTTTAACAAAAAAAGGCATAAAGAGTAGACGGAAATAAAAGCCAGACAAATTCAAATTTAAAACAAGATGGCATTTATAAAAGTACAGTTGCTTAATCACTGAAACAAATTCTAAAGAAATATAGTGCTTTCCTGAGTACAAGATGCCTTTCTGGAAGAGCTGCTTTAGTTCAGAGCTACTCAAACTCTGGACATGCACTACTCACCTATGAGTGTTCCCTGGAGTTGGCAGCAGCAGCTCAGTTTCTTCTAGCTGGGAAAAGAAAACCAGAATAAATACTCCGTGTTTATACTTCTGCTCCCTTGCAAAAGAAACAGAGGCATCCCCAAAAATGTAAGGTCCGGAGCAGTTCACTGGTGTGTATCAATGTCCTCTGCTTTTTAACTCCTCTGTTCTGGAAAAGCTAAGCAGCAGCTGAAATGCTATTTTCTAACACTTTCCAAGGTGAACCTTGTAATGAAGTTTCCATAAAGAGAAATGCTCCTTTAGCTGAACACCAGCCAAAGTTGTTAGCCCCAGTGCAACACCCTCAGAATCTATGCTAGAAGTGGCAGTAGCAGTTAAGCATTAAAAAATCCTTTTTTGTAATTTGGATTGAAAAATGCTCCT